TTACAAGATATGTATTTAGATGACATAAATGTATCCAAAATATTTTATTAAAAATTTCTATCTTCAAAGATCTTTTAATAGAAAGAATTGCAAAGAATTAAAGGAGGAATCATAATTTAGAAAAAAACAAAAGAATGATTAACATGCAATATTTTATTTTAATGATATTTAAATTAAAGTTTTAAACATTTATATAATGGAGATTTGATTATTTAAAAACAACTGAATCTTACTTTTTGCGAATATGGATCCAAGTATGAGAAGCTACCCAAATAAGAACTGTGAACAGAATTCCAGCCCCAGCAGCTGAAACTAACATAAAAGCTGTACCCTCTCTGAAATAAATATTTTAATTAAATCATTACCAGAATTAAATATTAAGTAATTTATAACTGACTTACAAAACACCAGTGCAGAGAGCTCCCATAGCAGTTTCATATTCCTTGTGCATTTTGTTACAGTTGAGCAGAACATCCATACCGGACAAGATCTTTTCAGTTCGATTCAAAAATAATGCCAAACTATCTAAAACTTCTCTTACCTAGGGAATTATAAAGAATCTTATAAAACTTCATTTGTATTTTCAAGAAATATAATCCAAATTCAATCAAGAAAAATTTACTAAAATCAAATTGATATTACTAATTATAAGTATTTTTTTGGTAAAAAGTTTTATTATTTTTTATACTCTTAACAATTTATATAATGAATGTTTTAATTAGTACTATGTGTATAATTTTATTGAGACAAAAGGAAAATTTAACTTTTATAGTGAAACTAAAGCTATAATTTCAAAATACTTTTACAGTAGTATCTCAGGATATGAAATTAATCCGTTCTGAAACTGAGATCGTATCATGAAAATGTTGTAAGATGAATCATTTTTCCCCATACGTTTACATGTAAAACCAAATAATTTGTTCCAACACGAAAAACACACTCAAATTAAAGCTAAGTAGAACATTGAAAAAAAATAACTTTAGTAAGGAAAACACTGAAAAATGCATTTTGTAGTTGTAAATGTATAAATAACTATAACAGAATAATAATTGATAAAAAAAATGTAGTTTTATTTGCACTTTACCTTTGAGGATAGATGACAGTGGAGGTGTAACAATAACTTAAAAATAAGTTTAAAAAAATGTTTTATATATATATATAAAACAACACTAATTTTTTAATCTTTTCTAATTTTTATTTACTACTTTTTGCTTTCTTTCCTTCACTTACACCAGCACTTTCACTGGATAGAGGTCACTTGGTAACATATCTATCCAAAGGGGTTTGGCTTTGCCTACTTTTTAAAATGCTTCTAAAATTACTTAGGCAAATGTAATTATTCTGAGCAGCAATACAGCTAGTGTAAACCTTTTTGGGATGTTTCTTTTCAATAAAATCAGTCACTTTCTAATAATACCTCAAGATTTCCTTTATTGAGCGAGATCCTTCCACGACGAAGCAAACACGCGGACTGAGACCAATGAACAGAAATGAATAAAAAAATGGCACTGTGAACTAATGTATTGTCATATGGTGAGTTTTTGTTCGCATTGTGGAACAAAAATATGTTCAAATTTCATGTCGTATCCTGGTGCGTTTGTATCCTGAGGTAACACTGTAATTCTGTACATTATTTTGCTTCTTGAATACGTATTTGTTTAGAATTAAAGGTTTTGAGAATGATAAGAAGCCACAAAAAATATTTTTACAATACTCTTAGAAATAAAATTTGAGTTTATCTTACTGTAATTTTAGAACAATTAAGCTTAAAATTTGTCTAGTGTTAAGCTAATTTTCAGTGTTGAAAAATATGATAGCAAAATTCTATTATTTAATATAAAAATAAACCATACTGACTCAAATATTAGTCAATGTTTTCTTCAGCTCTAAGGGGGCAAAAAGAAAAAATTTGCTCTCAACCTATATTCAAACCTTTGACTTATATTACAGTTCAATTAAAGTTCTATTCAATTTTGAAAACTGTCTATAGGACTTGTACAGGGTTAAGCTGACACTAAAATTCAGTGGACTGATAGTTTAGCAATGTTAAACAGCAGCTAAGTTAATGTGTCATACTGCAGACCACAAACTAGGCCTGGGAATTAAGTGTTTGGCAAGATTGTAAATAATTGATTAACTGATTGTCAAAAAACAATCAACTAAATCAAACACTGATTTTTTTATTGTATTCAACAGAATTCAGTTTTAGTAACTTCTAATAAAATTTTATTTTGGGAACTTTTTTAAATTACTTCTAAAAGACTTTACTAATTGAATGATTATCAAAAATTGGGGAAAGATTGCTCAAAATTCACTCTAAAATTTATTCCGTTATAAAATGTAAATTTCTTTTATCAAATATATAAATTTATAATTACATGATTGTGTTTTAAACTTTAAAAAAATGCTATAGACAGTTATAAATAAATAAGACAAATGAAAACACAAAAAAAAGTTTCAGTTTCATTTTTGACAGTCATAAAATTGTAGATATGCCCTTTCAGAATATATGTAAAATATGACTAATTTTCATAATCAATTGCAAAGATTAAAAAGTAATAAAATCATATGTTCTTGTAATTTCATATGTTCTTGTAAAAGTTAGAATGATAGTAGAATTTTAAAAGATTGTTGGCGAGATCACAATTATAAAGAGCTTTAAGAAATGTGTTAACAACAGCTTAGATAAAACAGATGATGTACTGTTCAAGGATGATAAAGAGCATGATAGCAATTGTTAGAATCAAGAAAGAAGCAATCCTGTAGAATGTTATAAGGTAAATTAAAGCATTTTTTAATTTAAATTTTAAAGTATTGAAGGCAGAATAGAAGAATGGTAACATAAGAAACAATTTTAAGAAGTTTGATAAAATAAACGTTTTGGTTTTAGAACATTAGAATTTTGGAGAGATTTGAATTGAATGTTTTTGGAGTTTTGTTGGTCAGTTTTGGTATTGGAAGCAAGAGAACTCTAAAAAAAAAAAAAACTTCTAACAGAAGAAACAGAGTCTGTGGGGAGGACATAGATATCAAGAGGAATTTAATTGCAGATTTGGTGGAGTAAACACATATTTGTCATAATTAAAGGTGGACAGAAAAAGTGAAAGACCTTTAATTAAAGTAATGACACCTTTCACTTTTCCCGTCAGGCAGTGTATTTGAGATAGAATGGGGTAGTGATTTTCCATGTGTCATTTGAAGCTGTAGTATAACTTCTTGTCTAATCATTTGTGGATTGTCTACAAAAATGCAAATTGCTAATTTTTTGTAGGCAAATAAAATTAGAATCCAAATATAAGTCAATATTTTATTATTAATTTTCTTCAAAAAATAAAGATTCTAAAATTGGGGATTAACTTATATTCAGGTGAATATGTTATTTGATTTGCTCATTTATTATTTTCACAAATATAACAACTAATATATTAAAATATAATATTAAAATTGTAATTTTATAATTAAATATTTAAGGATTAAAAGTAAGCTCATAAAACAGAATAGTCATTCAATTATCATATTTCATCATTTTATAAATTAACAATAGTGAAACGTTATTTTTTTAAAACTTTCTATCCTACAAGCACTAGGAGGGTCTAATATATTGATATATGATCAATATTTTGTTACTAAATAGAGAATGAATTTCATCACCTATTACATTGATTTTACTAAATAATAGAAGTAATCCATTATAGATTTTGAGACATCCATTAACTACATAGACATTTAAGGCAAGAACACAAAATTACATCATTGTACACAGTGAAGAGGGAGGTGTCAGGAATTGTCTAAGTAGACTTATTTTAATGGTATTAGCAGCATAAAAATTCATTTTTATAAACATAGTTCATTCACATGATTAATGTGTCAAAAAATGTTTGCAAGACTTTTTTTAAACACATTTCTTCAATGTCAGGGGATCCATGAATTATTGTGCACACAATTAAAGGGGAAAGAGTTTGCCAAAAGTATATCAGTGGATGGAGGAGGTCAAAAATGGCTAAAAAATTTTACACTTAATTAATGAATGGCCCCTTTTTATAAACATATATATCCTTTTGGAGCTCAATTTTTCTAAAGAGAGTAGTAAATAATTCAGCAATATAATAAAATAAAATGAAACTCACTTCTTTCTGTGGATAAAAAGTAACAGCAATTTTTGTCACAGCAGCTAAAGTGTTTTGGACATTATGAACAGCTTTCTTTCCATCTTCAATAGACTAAAAATAAAATTTATATATTTCTCTTAATTAAAATGAACTTAAACCTATAGTTTTTCATATAAATGTTTATAACATACTCACATCTTCAAAGGGATTAGGATCATCACAATTAAGATAATATTTCAAAACACCTATAGAAAAACAATTAATTTTTTTAAGATATAATTATGAAATACAAAAAAATTATTCAAACAAATGTAAGCAATAAACATAATTAAGCTTTAATATTTAAGATATTAAGTATATTTTATCATAAGAACAAACAATAGTTTAACAGTGATTTAACAATATTTAGTTTTCCTTACTGTTCAAGTTACCAATAGATACATAATTCAATTTGTTATATATCACTAGCCTGCCTGAGTTTTATACCATTCTTTTCATTTAACATAAAATTAATATCTTTTGATAATTTCTCTGTTATCAATTCAATTAATTCAATTATGTCTACTGTATTGAGGTTTGACTGTATATCAATACTCTATTAAATAGCACCACTTTTGTATAGCAGCAACAAATACTCATGAAATATGACCTTCCTCATAAATATTGAATAGAAAATCTTCCAGTATTTGTGAATTATTAAATATAAAAATNAAAAGTTTTTGATACTCAGATATTTAAAAATATTTTATAATTTAAAATAATAAATTATTATACTAATTGAAAGTGTCTTATATAGACATTGTGATTCTAAAATATGTATTGTGGTGTATAAATTATATGCTAATGGAATAAAAAATTAAAAATAAACAGAATGACTAGACTATAACTTACAGTGAAGCTGTGAAATGGGGAGTTTGAGGTGGGGTGTGGCTGTAGCGAGGACGTGCCCCCATGCTGCTGTACGTGTCACGATTTCTTCGGGAATTAGAGCCTACGGCAGAGGACGGTAGAAATGGATCTTCCTCGTCAACTGGCTCTGCTGGTCGCCTGCTCCACCACAATACAAAGTTTCTGTTTTATTTCAAAACATTCACGTATTTATATCTTGTTTGTGTTTTTTTAAATGATTTTTTTTCGTTGGTCTGTATCTTGTGTACATGAATAAATGTGTCTAATATTTTAAATTATCAGAATATTAAGAAAAGGGGCAAAGTTGACGTATTGTTGACGTTTATAAGATAAGCAATATGTATTTCAAATGAAGAGTAACTCATAGATAAATATGTTAAATGCAATGCTGTTTAGCCATATCTCTTATACAAAGATTAAAATTTTCTTTACTGTTACTCTTATGTAGAAAATTTTCACACCTCTCAGTATGTCCTTAAAAATTCTTTTAAGGCTAAGAAATAACAAACATTCTTTAGTTGCAAGCTTTTCGATAATTATGAATGTGAAAATATCTTTAGGAAAATAACAAAGAATTAATAATTAAAAAAATTAATGAAAAGGATAAGGAAAGTTACATAGTCTCATGCTATTAAAGGATTATCTTATACAAATGGAATTTTAAGATAAAGATATATTTTCAATTCAAACACAGGCAAAACAGCAATTGAATCATTTTGTAAGCATTACATAAATGTACACAAATGTTTATTATATCATTATAAGTGATGTCAATATGAATTTGTAAATAGTAAATGTACACATATATTTTAATATTCGTTATATGCAATAATTAAAAGTTTATCAAACAAGTAACATACTATTAATGTAATAATAAATGCATACATTATATATATAGGAGGTGAGTCAAGTATTTTCATTTTTTAAACAATTATTTAGTGTTTTAACAAACAAACATTCATGAACTGAATGGGAATAGTCTATAAAATTACATACAATAAAAGCTTATCGGTAAGGATATTTAAATTCATGAAATTCCAAAAAAATTTGAACAGAAGTTTGTAAGATTATTACAGAAAAAATTCATTTAAATGTTGAATTCTTTTAATATATAAAATAATGTATTAAAAATTACTGCTTATAGAATAATTATCATTCAGATTTATTCTTTCCTTTAAACAAATATGAAAAACAAGGTGAAATATTCCTCAAATTTAAATATTAGATAGAATTTTATAAATTCAGAAGTCTTATAGTGCAGATACATTCTGCTAGATTAAATATCCCAACACACAACTCAACTAGGTGTTACGTTATGTATTGGGATTTTCAATCTATCTGGGTCAGAGAAAACTAATATATTTTTAAAATACGAATAATCTGTAAAATGTAATTTATTGATATATTCAATAATTAAACATGATATAAAATTATATTGGAACCAACTTAACATGTTACTGAAGCTACATTTATTAGACATAACTTCAAAGACTAAAGACATAGAGAATAATGCATTATTAGAATTCTATTCTTGTAATTATATTCAATATTTATATAATAATAATTATATAATTAGAATAAACTTCAAAAAGCTATTGTTTTATGAAGAATTATTTGATAAAGCATTTGAAAAAATCTCAAATATCCTAATAAATTAATTTTCTAAAATTAAAATCTACTTGCAGTAAATAATATATTGACATTTAGGATATTTCTTTATCATAATATTCCTGTAAATGCCAATTTAATAGTTTTAAAAGCTTTAGAATTTGCCTACATTATATGAAAGCTGTTATATTATTGGGAATAATTTCCTAACAAACCAAAATAATCTTATTTCATAAGGCAATCTTCAGTATAAAAGATTTTTTGTCCTTTAATAAAATAATGTAATAATTAAAAAAATGGATAAATAATAGATTTTATTAATATTTATATTTTGTAATACATTCAGTTAAAAATAACAAACATTAAAATAAATTCTAGAAAATGAATGAATCTTGCTTAAAAATGTAACCTGATTTCTAGAAACTGTCTTGAAAATACCAAAGAGAGGATCATGTAATCTGAAGTGAATTTAATAGAAAAAAAAAATCAAAATTTCACCAATACATTCAATTAAACTTGTTTTAAGACAAACTTATAATTTTTATATAGAAAATATATATTCAATGCTATAAATAACACTTAAACTTTTGAATTTTTGACTCACCTTTATATATATTTTCTTATACACATACTGGATATTCAAAGTTCCTAATGATTTTAAGTAGGTATAAAGGTCACATTGATAGAAATTCATTTTTAATTCAAAAATAATTACGTGATACTGTTATTGGTTTAATGAAAACAGATTCAACAGTGACAAAACATAGTGTAAATAAGATTTAAAATATTTACTTAAAAGTTCATCTAGATTTAACAATGTAAACCTTTATATATGTGAAGCAATGGAGATCTGATTCCATTATATAGAATGGATTAAACACTAATGGAAAATGGCAGATTGACAAACATGTAAGAGTAAGAGCAAGACTGTTTAGTCAACATTCTTCTTTATACATGGTACTGACTAATTATGAAAAATTCATAATTCAAATGGAGATAAGTTTTTCAAATAAAAATTGCTGATGTATATGAAAATAAATAAATATATGATTTGTTTAGTTAAACTCTAATTGTTGACAGGAAATAAACTTTACAAAACCTGTTATTAACAATTAAATATATATACAAACTGTTTCCTTTCTTCATTGACAAGAAGTTATGCTGAAAACTTCATTTAAAAGTATTTTTATATACTCTTGTCTTTATTGAATTATTGACATATCCATGTATATTACTACTTTTGCATTAAACAATTTGGACAATTTTCTTTCAGAATTCATGCTCCATATAAATCTATCATTCCATTTTTAAACATATTTCTACAAACAACTTTATTGTCTAGATTCATTTATCAATTGGTTGGGCAAGATGACTTAAAGCTTGACATAACAAATTTCATGGCGAATAAAATCATGGATGTAACAGAATACCTTATTACAGTTAAAAATAAAGAAATATCTGAGAAAAGTCTGATAGAAACTTTACTACATTTAAAATATTACATTTTTAAAGATTCAGCATGGCAAAATTTTGTAAAAAAAATATAAACACCATGCATTTATCATCATTAAATATCTTGTATCACCTGATATATTCAAAAATACAGTTTAATGATAATGAGGATGGTAAAACTCTACAGATCTTGTTATATATTTGAACACAAGCTTTTCCATAAATGTAATTTTGATTCTAAGCAAAACATTTAAAATAAATTGTATATCATCTTATCAGAATATATTAAAAACTCAAATTATATTTATGTTAATCTTTACAAGTAAAAAACTGGCAGTTTGCACCAGCATGGAAAAATCTATCAAAATCATTTCCTTAGCTTGTTTAAATCTTGTGAGTATATTAACTTAAGGTGATCTGTGAATCATATGCATATTAGCAATTCCAACAGTGTATTGTGCATATTATTTATCTTTTATCAGATATCCATAGATATTAGACTTCATTTCTTGAATAAACTGATAATTTTCTGCTATTTGAATAATTCGTAACCCTTATTTTTTGCTTCCAACATATAAATGAATGTGTAATGATAGCTTGTTTTGCATTTTCTCATATGATATAAAACATTTTGCAAGAAAAGTAGAGGCTTTTATATACTGGCTAAGAATTTTTTATAGACTGGGCTGAAAATATTAGTCTCTCAAACTATTTAATAGTTGAGAATTATTAATTGGTACCCTCAATAAGGCATGGTTGAGTTTGAAATTCTAGATTTTGTGTTAATTTAACTTAATTTATTTATTTTTCACCTGTTATTAATATGAGATATATTAATGTCTCCTTGACATAAATTTGGTGTACAGATGCTAATTTATTTTTTCTAATATATTTCAACAGCTAAATTATTAGATATTTTTGGGCCATTTCCTTTTGAATTATACCAATTTAAAATTATTTAAGAACTTCATATCCAGTAAATACAGGATATTTTGTAAAGATTGATCAAACTTATAAAACAAATGCATAGGATAAATGAGAAAAAAGGGCCATATTAACATATGTTAAACAAATGAATAACAAGGAATTTTATGTAGTGGCCCAATTTATAATATTGTATTACGTAGGACAAACATATTGATTTATAATGAATTTGTCTCAATTTCAGCCATTTCAGGATGCTTTGAAAGTAAATGTTACTTGTACTGCTATGTATAAATTTATATTCAAGAGAGTGATCTTTTAAATATTTCTTGTAAATATTTTCTTTATTCTAAATGGTATACAACACATAAATAGTGTTGAGTGAAATTTACTATTTTTTATTAAGAAAAAGATGGAAATATAATACAAAAATAATTCATATATAAATCCATTGTTACTCATTTCTTTACCATATGCCAATAGTATATTTTTAATCATTATATCCTCCTATATATGTGATGTAAGTACAGTATAGCATCAATTATCCGAATCAATTGGGGACTGGGGTTGTTTGGAAGATCAATGTTTTGGATAACCGATTATGTACGAAAAAATATATTAATTTATCCCATGTTGAAATTTTTCTCTGTTACATGTCACTTCACGTTGAATTTTCGTCGATGTTAAGCCTAACGAAGACTATTGTATCGTTAAAAATTATTTTTTTATTTTGTACAAACAAAATAAATATATTGAAAAATATAAAAACAATAAAAAATTATACTTCAGAACTTAATTTAGTATCAAAAACAAAATATTTGAGTAGCCCAAGACATAGTCAAAGATTGCAGCGCCACAGCACTGGCAAAAATTAAAATTTGCCGACTGGAATTCTTTCGGATGACTGACTTTCGGATAATCGACGCTCTACTGTATATCCAAATTTAAATTTATTACAATAATCTTTACAGGAGACCCTGTATATGTATGTATGTATGCATGTATGTCTGTATGTATACATCTATACTATAAAATATTTGTGTGTTTATAAATACAATTTATAATTTATTTATTTCGTAAATCTGAGCATATTTAACATGCAATTTTTTGAAATTCTTTCATTTTAATTTATCTGTTAATCTGTCAGAATGTGTTTAAAAATAAACATTTTGATCATTTTATTTAGAATGATATGCATAACTTATTCATACTGTGATTCAAATGATTCAATCTTTTAATAATTACAAGATATGTATTTAGATGACATAAATGTATCCAAAATATTTTATTAAAAATTTCTATCTTCAAAGATCTTTTAATAGAAAGAATTGCAAAGAATTAAAGGAGGAATCATAATTTAGAAAAAAACAAAAGAATGATTAACATGCAATATTTTATTTTAATGATATTTAAATTAAAGTTTTAAACATTTATATAATGGAGATTTGATTATTTAAAAACAACTGAATCTTACTTTTTGCGAATATGGATCCAAGTATGAGAAGCTACCCAAATAAGAACTGTGAACAGAATTCCAGCCCCAGCAGCTGAAACTAACATAAAAGCTGTACCCTCTCTGAAATAAATATTTTAATTAAATCATTACCAGAATTAAATATTAAGTAATTTATAACTGACTTACAAAACACCAGTGCAGAGAGCTCCCATAGCAGTTTCATATTCCTTGTGCATTTTGTTACAGTTGAGCAGAACATCCATACCGGACAAGATCTTTTCAGTTCGATTCAAAAATAATGCCAAACTATCTAAAACTTCTCTTACCTAGGGAATTATAAAGAATCTTATAAAACTTCATTTGTATTTTCAAGAAATATAATCCAAATTCAATCAAGAAAAATTTACTAAAATCAAATTGATATTACTAATTATAAGTATTTTTTTGGTAAAAAGTTTTATTATTTTTTATACTCTTAACAATTTATATAATGAATGTTTTAATTAGTACTATGTGTATAATTTTATTGAGACAAAAGGAAAATTTAACTTTTATAGTGAAACTAAAGCTATAATTTCAAAATACTTTTACAGTAGTATCTCAGGATATGAAATTAATCCGTTCTGAAACTGAGATCGTATCATGAAAATGTTGTAAGATGAATCATTTTTCCCCATACGTTTACATGTAAAACCAAATAATTTGTTCCAACACGAAAAACACACTCAAATTAAAGCTAAGTAGAACATTGAAAAAAAATAACTTTAGTAAGGAAAACACTGAAAAATGCATTTTGTAGTTGTAAATGTATAAATAACTATAACAGAATAATAATTGATAAAAAAAATGTAGTTTTATTTGCACTTTACCTTTGAGGATAGATGACAGTGGAGGTGTAACAATAACTTAAAAATAAGTTTAAAAAAATGTTTTATATATATATATAAAACAACACTAATTTTTTAATCTTTTCTAATTTTTATTTACTACTTTTTGCTTTCTTTCCTTCACTTACACCAGCACTTTCACTGGATAGAGGTCACTTGGTAACATATCTATCCAAAGGGGTTTGGCTTTGCCTACTTTTTAAAATGCTTCTAAAATTACTTAGGCAAATGTAATTATTCTGAGCAGCAATACAGCTAGTGTAAACCTTTTTGGGATGTTTCTTTTCAATAAAATCAGTCACTTTCTAATAATACCTCAAGATTTCCTTTATTGAGCGAGATCCTTCCACGACGAAGCAAACACGCGGACTGAGACCAATGAACAGAAATGAATAAAAAAATGGCACTGTGAACTAATGTATTGTCATATGGTGAGTTTTTGTTCGCATTGTGGAACAAAAATATGTTCAAATTTCATGTCGTATCCTGGTGCGTTTGTATCCTGAGGTAACACTGTAATTCTGTACATTATTTTGCTTCTTGAATACGTATTTGTTTAGAATTAAAGGTTTTGAGAATGATAAGAAGCCACAAAAAATATTTTTACAATACTCTTAGAAATAAAATTTGAGTTTATCTTACTGTAATTTTAGAACAATTAAGCTTAAAATTTGTCTAGTGTTAAGCTAATTTTCAGTGTTGAAAAATATGATAGCAAAATTCTATTATTTAATATAAAAATAAACCATACTGACTCAAATATTAGTCAATGTTTTCTTCAGCTCTAAGGGGGCAAAAAGAAAAAATTTGCTCTCAACCTATATTCAAACCTTTGACTTATATTACAGTTCAATTAAAGTTCTATTCAATTTTGAAAACTGTCTATAGGACTTGTACAGGGTTAAGCTGACACTAAAATTCAGTGGACTGATAGTTTAGCAATGTTAAACAGCAGCTAAGTTAATGTGTCATACTGCAGACCACAAACTAGGCCTGGGAATTAAGTGTTTGGCAAGATTGTAAATAATTGATTAACTGATTGTCAAAAAACAATCAACTAAATCAAACACTGATTTTTTTATTGTATTCAACAGAATTCAGTTTTAGTAACTTCTAATAAAATTTTATTTTGGGAACTTTTTTAAATTACTTCTAAAAGACTTTACTAATTGAATGATTATCAAAAATTGGGGAAAGATTGCTCAAAATTCACTCTAAAATTTATTCCGTTATAAAATGTAAATTTCTTTTATCAAATATATAAATTTATAATTACATGATTGTGTTTTAAACTTTAAAAAAATGCTATAGACAGTTATAAATAAATAAGACAAATGAAAACACAAAAAAAAGTTTCAGTTTCATTTTTGACAGTCATAAAATTGTAGATATGCCCTTTCAGAATATATGTAAAATATGACTAATTTTCATAATCAATTGCAAAGATTAAAAAGTAATAAAAAATTTCATATGTTCTTGTAAAAGTTAGAATGATAGTAGAATTTTAAAAGATTGTTGGCGAGATCACAATTATAAAGAGCTTTAAGAAATGTGTTAACAACAGCTTAGATAAAACAGATGATGTACTGTTCAAGGATGATAAAGAGCATGATAGCAATTGTTAGAATCAAGAAAGAAGCAATCCTGTAGAATGTTATAAGGTAAATTAAAGCATTTTTTAATTTAAATTTTAAAGTATTGAAGGCAGAATAGAAGAATGGTAACATAAGAAACAATTTTAAGAAGTTTGATAAAATAAACGTTTTGGTTTTAGAACATTAGAATTTTGGAGAGATTTGAATTGAATGTTTTTGGAGTTTTGTTGGTCAGTTTTGGTATTGGAAGCAAGAGAACTCTAAAAAAAAAAAAAACTTCTAACAGAAGAAACAGAGTCTGTGGGGAGGACATAGATATCAAGAGGAATTTAATTGCAGATTTGGTGGAGTAAACACATATTTGTCATAATTAAAGGTGGACAGAAAAAGTGAAAGACCTTTAATTAAAGTAATGACACCTTTCACTTTTCCCGTCAGGCAGTGTATTTGAGATAGAATGGGGTAGTGATTTTCCATGTGTCATTTGAAGCTGTAGTATAACTTCTTGTCTAATCATTTGTGGATTGTCTACAAAAATGCAAATTGCTAATTTTTTGTAGGCAAATAAAATTAGAATCCAAATATAAGTCAATATTTTATTATTAATTTTCTTCAAAAAATAAAGATTCTAAAATTGGGGATTAACTTATATTCAGGTGAATATGTTATTTGATTTGCTCATTTATTATTTTCACAAATATAACAACTAATATATTAAAATATAATATTAAAATTGTAATTTTATAATTAAATATTTAAGGATTAAAAGTAAGCTCATAAAACAGAATAGTCATTCAATTATCATATTTCATCATTTTATAAATTAACAATAGTGAAACGTTATTTTTTTAAAACTTTCTATCCTACAAGCACTAGGAGGGTCTAATATATTGATATATGATCAATATTTTGTTACTAAATAGAGAATGAATTTCATCACCTATTACATTGATTTTACTAAATAATAGAAGTAATCCATTATAGATTTTGAGACATCCATTAACTACATAGACATTTAAGGCAAGAACACAAAATTACATCATTGTACACAGTGAAGAGGGAGGTGTCAGGAATTGTCTAAGTAGACTTATTTTAATGGTATTAGCAGCATAAAAATTCATTTTTATAAACATAGTTCATTCACATGATTAATGTGTCAAAAAATGTTTGCAAGACTTTTTTTAAACACATTTCTTCAATGTCAGGGGATCCATGAATTATTGTGCACACAATTAAAGGGGAAAGAGTTTGCCAAAAGTATATCAGTAGATGGAGGAGGTCAAAAATGGCTAAAAAATTTTACACTTAATTAATGAATGGCCCCTTTTTATAAACATATATATCCTTTTGGAGCTCAATTTTTCTAAAGAGAGTAGTAAATAATTCAGCAATATAATAAAATAAAATGAAACTCACTTCTTTCTGTGGATAAAAAGTAACAGCAATTTTTGTAACAGCAGCTAAAGTGTTTTGGACATTATGAACAGCTTTCTTTCCATCTTCAATAGACTAAAAATAAAATTTATATATTTCTCTTAATTAAAATGAACTTAAACCTATAGTTTTTCATATAAATGTTTATAACATACTCACATCTTCAAAGGGATTAGGATCATCACAATTAAGATAATATTTCAAAACACCTATAGAAAAACAATTAATTTTTTTAAGATATAATTATGAAATACAAAAAAATTATTCAAACAAATGTAAGCAATAAACATAATTAAGCTTTAATATTTAAGATATTAAGTATATTTTATCATAAGAACAAACAATAGTTTAACAGTGATTTAACAATATTTAGTTTTCCTTACTGTTCAAGTTACCATAATTCAATTTGTTATATATCACTAGCCTGCCTGAGTTTTATACCATTCTTTTCATTTAACATAAAATTAATATCTTTTGATAATTTCTCTGTTATCAATTCAATTAATTCAATTATGTCTACTGTATTGAGGTTTGACTGTATATCAATACTCTATTAAATAGCACCACTTTTGTATAGCAGCAACAAATACTCATGAAATATGACCTTCCTCATAAATATTGAATAGAAAATCTTCCAGTATTTGTGAATTATTAAATATAAAATTTTGAACAGAAAATAATATTATTATTAATATATTATGCATCTTTCAGACTTCTAACTCAAACTTGCTTGCAGACTGCATTACTATAAATAATTCTGTTTGAGATACTTTTGTCTAGTGCCATACTTGTTTCACTGCCAATTTCAAAAGTCCTAAATCAAAGTTTGATTACATAAATTGAGATTAACTAAAATTTGCATTGTATTTGCCAATTAAAATGGTTTTAAAAAAATTATATTTTAATGCATTGAAATAAAAACATTACAAATGCAAAAAAGCATAGAAATAGTTCTGAGCAGCATAAATAAATTTTTTGTATTTATGTATTTTGACAATTTAAAGTAAAACTAAGTAATTTTTTGGATTATTTTATACTAATATAAGTTAATAGACTTTTAGTACACTCAATTTTAATTTAATAATGACCGTTGAAGACAGTGCATTTTATAATCGATGAGACCTAGAATCAAATAATGAATAGTGTTAAAATATAATTATGTTAAATCATTATCTTTCAGTTAAGAAATTGCTTTTTGTAGTTATATAAGAATTAGTTAAGATGCAATAAGTGATTAAAAAATTTGTTTCTTGTGTTTTGCCCCATTGAAAATATTGTAATATCATCATGCTGAGAAGGATAAATAATTCCTACCATTAGTTATGAAAGAGACAAAACGTGTATGAAACAAAAATCAAATAATTTCATTTATTGGAAAAGAAGGAGCAGAATAAAAATTATGAAATATTTAAGCTAATAAACAAACCTCACATTAAATTTGTAAAGTCAAACAACCACTGTATTACATCAGGCTACTTTTCCATGATTATATTTAATCAATTACTTAATAATTTGTCACTAGATTCGAGCCCCACTCTGGACCAATTCTTTTCTTCCAGAATATTCTAAATTATTTAATAAATATTCATTTAATTATAATTATTAAATTTAATAATTATAATATAATCATGGAAAAGTAGCCTGATGTATTACAGTGATTGTTTGGCTTTAAGCTAATTATAATTATACAATTGAAGAGGAAATCCAACATATATAAAATGACTGAATGGCCAAGGTGGTTAAGAGATCAGCCTATTACACTGGGGATTCAAGATTGAATTCAGGCAGTTAAAAAACCTGACATTTTTCAAGATTGTCTGTTCCAGGTATATTAAGCCACATTCCTCATCATTTGGCCATCACATTGGGTGTGGATAAAAGGCCCCCTTAGTGCCTGCAGTACAAAAAAGTAATAATAAAACAATCCAACATATATTGTTTCATCTGGCCAAATTCAATGTATATAAGCTTCTTTAGAAGCATTTATATAAGAAATTTCACAAAAAGACTAGAATAGGAAGAGTGAACCTTATACAGTCCATGTGCCATATAGTAAGCATATTTACCTTTAAATATGTTTAGCATTCTGAAGTTTTAGATTTTGAATAATGATATTTAAAGAAATGAAATGAATATGTTTTAATTTGAGTAAATGTAAANTATATAAAAAAAAAAATAAGATAAAATATCAGCAATGAACACACTGAAAGAGGCATGTTTTTAATTTAAATATAACCAAAAGCTTTTGATAAACAAACATTTACAAAATGAATAAGTTATTGTACTTGTCCCATAAAACCATGTTTTATTCATAAAAAATTTAAGAATTATCAGATACAGTAATTATCCATATGGAATTTGTTTATTTTGAATTTCAGAAAAATATTGAAAAGTGCATCTTAATGTCAATATGGAGTGCTTCCTAAATTCTTTGTAAGGCCAAGATTCCACTAGCGCAAAAACAAACATAAAACCCCTTGCTGTAAAAGCTTTTAATCACGTGACCATGATATTTTACACCTGAGCTGGTTGTAAAACCAGCATAAAAGTGAGTTGAGCAGTGTTCAACTTTCAATGCAAATATGACCGTAAAACAATACCATCCATCAATCAGAAGTCAGTGAAATCTAGGTCATTATGTCACCGTGTGAAAATGGCAGAAACGAGCTTTTGTGTACGTTCCCTCATGGCTACTCTAGAATAGATCTGGAAAGATTTATTGAAAACATCCGAAAGTATTCATGTATCTACGACAAGAAGTATCCTGATTATAATAATGGATACCTAAAACACATGATATGGACAGCCAAAGGAAAATGCTTCAATTTAGAGGATATATAATGAGAAAAGCTAAGCTTATAAGTACTGCATATTATCTTAATTAATAATACGATAATAAAAGTTAATATATGAAAGTAAAGATATTATTTTTGCTACATTTGTAATTATAGTACAGAAAAAACTTGTAGAATATAATCATTGCCTTTATAACTTTGATAGTACCATCACCATAAAAACTTCGCTAACCGGACTTCCACCGCAATCCAGACGCAACTAGGTCACGTGATTAAAAGTTTTTACAGTGAAGGTTTTTACACTAGTGGAGTCTTGGCCTAACTCTATAAAAGTCTGTACGTAATGAAAATTTTATAGTATTTTTTGTTTATTTTGTGTTTTATTAGTCATNGAAATTTCACAAAAAGACTAGAATAGGAAGAGTGAACCTTATACAGTCCATGTGCCATATAGTATGCATATTTACCTTTAAATATGTTTAGCATTCTGAAGTTTTAGATTTTGAATAATGATATTTAAAGAAATGAAATGAATATGTTTTAATTTGAGTAAATGTAAAGATGATTGGAAAAGATGATCAGATGATAAACTGAAAGGATGATTGAAAAAAATGGTAACATATACAATTTTGGTTACCATCTTTTTCAATCATAACCTATGGTATGCATGCCATTTTCAGCACATGAATGTGAGATCTGACCTCAGAGTAAGGCAAAAATTGTTCATTTTCCCCCTAAATTTTCGACGTATGAGAAATAAATTTGTTGCCTCCTTGTTAAAATAACGTTGTCGGAAAAAAGAATCAAATATCGATAGAAACTTATAACTTTCATCATTAATATAAACATTCAACCCTCGAACAATGACATTCCTATGCTGCAAGACAAAAAGTTTATAGTTAAAGTCCGAATTTGTCATTTTGTTTTGGTCCTGGGAACAACTTTAACCTCCACACCTGCAGGACCAACTCTACCTCTCACAATAGGGGATCACCTGACTAATTTTCCCAGCCTGAAGCTATAATAGCAACTTCTTTTCCCCTCCTCGGGGGAGTCTCTCATCTACAGCTGGTCAAAAAGGATTAAGTCTCGGAGGATTTTAACTTTATGCGTCAATCGGAAGAATAAGGGCATAAACCTAACATCTACGTTAAAATATACTAGAGGTATGGAGCATTAAATGTAAACTCTCTCTCCGCGAGTTAGGAGTTAGCGACCTAAATTCATTTCTCAAAATGTTAGAGTTTGTAATCGTTAATTCTCGTTAATCTAATAAATCGTTGTTTTCATTGTTAACTGATGTCATTTACTCGCATATCGCCTATGCCTTGTCGACAACCCCTCTCACCTCCTCCACTCAACCTGACAAAAAGCCATCTTGACAAGTGAGCAGGTTTAACGACCTGTAGCCGGAAAGGGAGACCTCCAACCTCCCTGGTGGTTCACAAATACAATAGGTTTGCCATACCTGGACTAAAACTTTAAACCAAATTTGGTTATTACAAATAACACGTGAATGTATATGTTACATATAAATCATATTTATTATATTAATTTTATTTAAACATTAATCACTTTCAAAGCAGCTTATCTTGTTTGACAATACATAAATAAAATGATGAATATACATGATCAAAAATTCATATTTATGATATAGCAATCTGTCTGAATTTAAAGTGATTATGAAATAATGCAATCTCTCATTTAGATGAAAAACTAAGTTATGAAAAATTTATTTATTTGCATATATTGTAATTTACTATTTAAACTGAAAATAATATAGCAATAAAGAAAATTAATGTATAGGGAGATGATTTACATATATGACATAATAATTTTATCAAACTAAAATAGATCAAAACAATTAAAAAAGATCCAAAATTAAAGGTACAAAATTTAAAACTGTTTATTATGAGAACAATTATTTATATAAAATTTTGTGCATTTTTGACAGTAAAGGTTGTGCCTGTGGGGACCAGCCTAGTTTTGCAGGATGGCCGCACTGTTAAATTGAAATAAAATATACAATAACTAAAAAATGAAATATGTGAAATTTAAACCTACTAGTATAAAATGTTCCACTTGCTTGTTTGTAAAAAAAAGGCTCAGGGTTCAAACAGAAGTCCGATGCTGCCTAATTTATAAAAAGTAATCATATTTCAAATATTTTGAAATTATTATTAAAATTTTTTTACATAATCTTTAACATTAAAACTGAAATATTTGATAAATATATATTGAAAACTGGCCAAAATTATAATAATAATTAAATAGTAGAGCCCAATAGTTTGTCTGGGTCTATTATATGATTATACTCAATAAAAATTCACAGTAAAGCATTACTAAGAATGAATGGTTATGCTTAGTTAAGAAAATAAGTAATATGTTTTTTTGAGATAAAAATATTAATATTTTGGTATTCATAATAATAAGAAATTTTGTAATAGACTATTTGTTAAAATCTAGTATATAATAAAATAAATAATTACCACACAGGATCCAAGATATAATGACACAGATATCCAACATATTACAACTGAAAGTAGGCCCAATACTGAAAATCTATTAAAGAATTAATATAGCATTTAATAAAATTTACCTTTAAACTGAAAAAATTTGTATACATTAAAATAAAAAAAATTATATAAATAATAATTAAATATAACTATCAAAATATTATGGTGTAATCGTAAAGTCCCTCTGCAGTCGGCTATGCCTATGTGGNAATCATAATTTAGAAAAAAACAAAAGAATGATTAACATGCAATATTTTATTTTAATGATATTTAAATTAAAGTTTTAAACATTTATATAATGGAGATTTGATTATTTAAAAACAACTGAATCTTACTTTTTGCGAATATGGATCCAAGTATGAGAAGCTACCCAAATAAGAACTGTGAACAGAATTCCAGCCCCAGCAGCTGAAACTAACATAAAAGCTGTACCCTCTCTGAAATAAATATTTTAATTAAATCATTACCAGAATTAAATATTAAGTAATTTATAACTGACTTACAAAACACCAGTGCAGAGAGCTCCCATAGCAGTTTCATATTCCTTGTGCATTTTGTTACAGTTGAGCAGAACATCCATACCGGACAAGATCTTTTCAGTTCGATTCAAAAATAATGCCAAACTATCTAAAACTTCTCTTACCTAGGGAATTATAAAGAATCTTATAAAACTTCATTTGTATTTTCAAGAAATATAATCCAAATTCAATCAAGAAAAATTTACTAAAATCAAATTGATATTACTAATTATAAGTATTTTTTTGGTAAAAAGTTTTATTATTTTTTATACTCTTAACAATTTATATAATGAATGTTTTAATTAGTACTATGTGTATAATTTTATTGAGACAAAAGGAAAATTTAACCTTTATAGTGAAACTAAAGCTATAATTTCAAAATACTTTTACAGTAGTATCTCAGGATATGAAATTAATCCGTTCTGAAACTGAGATCGTATCATGAAAATGTTGTAAGATGAATCATTTTTCCCCATACGTTTACATGTAAAACCAAATAATTTGTTCCAACACGAAAAACACACTCAAATTAAAGCTAAGTAGAACATTGAAAAAAAATAACTTTAGTAAGGAAAACACTGAAAAATGCATTTTGTAGTTGTAAATGTATAAATAACTATAACAGAATAATAATTGATAAAAAAAATGTAGTTTTATTTGCACTTTACCTTTGAGGATAGATGACAGTGGAGGTGTAACAATAACTTAAAAATAAGTTTAAAAAAATGTTTTATATATATATATAAAACAACACTAATTTTTTAATCTTTTCTAATTTTTATTTACTACTTTTTGCTTTCTTTCCTTCACTTACACCAGCACTTTCACTGGATAGAGGTCACTTGGTAACATATCTATCCAAAGGGGTTTGGCTTTGCCTACTTTTTAAAATGCTTCTAAAATTACTTAGGCAAATGTAATTATTCTGAGCAGCAATACAGCTAGTGTAAACCTTTTTGGGATGTTTCTTTTCAATAAAATCAGTCACTTTCTAATAATACCTCAAGATTTCCTTTATTGAGCGAGATCCTTCCACGACGAAGCAAACACGCGGACTGAGACCAATGAACAGAAATGAATAAAAAAATGGCACTGTGAACTAATGTATTGTCATATGGTGAGTTTTTGTTCGCATTGTGGAACAAAAATATGTTCAAATTTCATGTCGTATCCTGGTGCGTTTGTATCCTGAGGTAACACTGTAATTCTGTACATTATTTTGCTTCTTGAATACGTATTTGTTTAGAATTAAAGGTTTTGAGAATGATAAGAAGCCACAAAAAATATTTTTACAATACTCTTAGAAATAAAATTTGAGTTTATCTTACTGTAATTTTAGAACAATTAAGCTTAAAATTTGTCTAGTGTTAAGCTAATTTTCAGTGTTGAAAAATATGATAGCAAAATTCTATTATTTAATATAAAAATAAACCATACTGACTCAAATATTAGTCAATGTTTTCTTCAGCTCTAAGGGGGCAAAAAGAAAAAATTTGCTCTCAACCTATATTCAAACCTTTGACTTATATTACAGTTCAATTAAAGTTCTATTCAATTTTGAAAACTGTCTATAGGACTTGTACAGGGTTAAGCTGACACTAAAATTCAGTGGACTGATAGTTTAGCAATGTTAAACAGCAGCTAAGTTAATGTGTCATACTGCAGACCACAAACTAGGCCTGGGAATTAAGTGTTTGGCAAGATTGTAAATAATTGATTAACTGATTGTCAAAAAACAATCAACTAAATCAAACACTGATTTTTTTATTGTATTCAACAGAATTCAGTTTTAGTAACTTCTAATAAAATTTTATTTTGGGAACTTTTTTAAATTACTTCTAAAAGACTTTACTAATTGAATGATTATCAAAAATTGGGGAAAGATTGCTCAAAATTCACTCTAAAATTTATTCCGTTATAAAATGTAAATTTCTTTTATCAAATATATAAATTTATAATTACATGATTGTGTTTTAAACTTTAAAAAAATGCTATAGACAGTTATAAATAAATAAGACAAATGAAAACACAAAAAAAAGTTTCAGTTTCATTTTTGACAGTCATAAAATTGTAGATATGCCCTTTCAGAATATATGTAAAATATGACTAATTTTCATAATCAATTGCAAAGATTAAAAAGTAATAAAATCATATGTTCTTGTAATTTCATATGTTCTTGTAAAAGTTAGAATGATAGTAGAATTTTAAAAGATTGTTGGCGAGATCACAATTATAAAGAGCTTTAAGAAATGTGTTAACAACAGCTTAGATAAAACAGATGATGTACTGTTCAAGGATGATAAAGAGCATGATAGCAATTGTTAGAATCAAGAAAGAAGCAATCCTGTAGAATGTTATAAGGTAAATTAAAGCATTTTTTAATTTAAATTTTAAAGTATTGAAGGCAGAATAGAAGAATGGTAACATAAGAAACAATTTTAAGAAGTTTGATAAAATAAACGTTTTGGTTTTAGAACATTAGAATTTTGGAGAGATTTGAATTGAATGTTTTTGGAGTTTTGTTGGTCAGTTTTGGTATTGGAAGCAAGAGAACTCTAAAAAAAAAAAAACTTCTAACAGAAGAAACAGAGTCTGTGGGGAGGACATAGATATCAAGAGGAATTTAATTGCAGATTTGGTGGAGTAAACACATATTTGTCATAATTAAAGGTGGACAGAAAAAGTGAAAGACCTTTAATTAAAGTAATGACACCTTTCACTTTTCCCGTCAGGCAGTGTATTTGAGATAGAATGGGGTAGTGATTTTCCATGTGTCATTTGAAGCTGTAGTATAACTTCTTGTCTAATCATTTGTGGATTGTCTACAAAAATGCAAATTGCTAATTTTTTGTAGGCAAATAAAATTAGAATCCAAATATAAGTCAATATTTTATTATTAATTTTCTTCAAAAAATAAAGATTCTAAAATTGGGGATTAACTTATATTCAGGTGAATATGTTATTTGATTTGCTCATTTATTATTTTCACAAATATAACAACTAATATATTAAAATATAATATTAAAATTGTAATTTTATAATTAAATATTTAAGGATTAAAAGTAAGCTCATAAAACAGAATAGTCATTCAATTATCATATTTCATCATTTTATAAATTAACAATAGTGAAACGTTATTTTTTTAAAACTTTCTATCCTACAAGCACTAGGAGGGTCTAATATATTGATATATGATCAATATTTTGTTACTAAATAGAGAATGAATTTCATCACCTATTACATTGATTTTACTAAATAATAGAAGTAATCCATTATAGATTTTGAGACATCCATTAACTACATAGACATTTAAGGCAAGAACACAAAATTACATCATTGTACACAGTGAAGAGGGAGGTGTCAGGAATTGTCTAAGTAGACTTATTTTAATGGTATTAGCAGCATAAAAATTCATTTTTATAAACATAGTTCATTCACATGATTAATGTGTCAAAAAATGTTTGCAAGACTTTTTTTAAACACATTTCTTCAATGTCAGGGGATCCATGAATTATTGTGCACACAATTAAAGGGGAAAGAGTTTGCCAAAAGTATATCAGTAGATGGAGGAGGTCAAAAATGGCTAAAAAATTTTACACTTAATTAATGAATGGCCCCTTTTTATAAACATATATATCCTTTTGGAGCTCAATTTTTCTAAAGAGAGTAGTAAATAATTCAGCAATATAATAAAATAAAATGAAACTCACTTCTTTCTGTGGATAAAAAGTAACAGCAATTTTTGTAACAGCAGCTAAAGTGTTTTGGACATTATGAACAGCTTTCTTTCCATCTTCAATAGACTAAAAATAAAATTTATATATTTCTCTTAATTAAAATGAACTTAAACCTATAGTTTTTCATATAAATGTTTATAACATACTCACATCTTCAAAGGGATTAGGATCATCACAATTAAGATAATATTTCAAAACACCTATAGAAAAACAATTAATTTTTTTAAGATATAATTATGAAATACAAAAAAATTATTCAAACAAATGTAAGCAATAAACATAATTAAGCTTTAATATTTAAGATATTAAGTATATTTTATCATAAGAACAAACAATAGTTTAACAGTGATTTAACAATATTTAGTTTTCCTTACTGTTCAAGTTACCAATAGATACATAATTCAATTTGTTATATATCACTAGCCTGCCTGAGTTTTATACCATTCTTTTCATTTAACATAAAATTAATATCTTTTGATAATTTCTCTGTTATCAATTCAATTAATTCAATTATGTCTACTGTATTGAGGTTTGACTGTATATCAATACTCTATTAAATAGCACCACTTTTGTATAGCAGCAACAAATACTCATGAAATATGACCTTCCTCATAAATATTGAATAGAAAATCTTCCAGTATTTGTGAATTATTAAATATAAAATTTTGAACAGAAAATAATATTATTATTAATATATTATGCATCTTTCAGACTTCTAACTCAAACTTGCTTGCAGACTGCATTACTATAAATAATTCTGTTTGAGATACTTTTGTCTAGTGCCATACTTGTTTCACTGCCAATTTCAAAAGTCCTAAATCAAAGTTTGATTACATAAATTGAGATTAACTAAAATTTGCATTGTATTTGCCAATTAAAATGGTTTTAAAAAAATTATATTTTAATGCATTGAAATAAAAACATTACAAATGCAAAAAAGCATAGAAATAGTTCTGAGCAGCATAAATAAATTTTTTGTATTTATGTATTTTGACAATTTAAAGTANGATATTATGTAATGCATGTTAAGGTGCATGCGCGCCAGTGTTTTGCGCGTTTATAAAATAATTAATAGCCATTCTTATCGAAATTTAAAACGCATGCGTGCCAATTTTAAATATTTTTAAATGTTTTAATTCTAAAATTTAATTCTTATTTATAATTAAAAAACGGCTAATATCGTTAATGTTCAAATTCAAATGTATGATTCGAATTCTCTATTCGTTTGATTTGCCTGAGGACGACGTGCATATTTACGTCGAAAGCGCTCGCAAGAATAAAATATATTAATTGTGTTTAACGCCTTAGTGTCTGAAGTTTTTGAAGAAGCTTTAATTAAAATAAAAGTTGGCGTGACATCCAACCTCTACGTTTTTACTACTCGTAATTTACTATTTAAACTGAAAATAATATAGCAATAAAGAAAATTAATGTATAGGGAGATGATTTACATATATGACATAATAATTTTATCAAACTAAAATAGATCAAAACAATTAAAAAAGATCCAAAATTAAAGATACAAAATTTAAAACTGTTTATTATGAGAACAATTATTTATATAAAATTTTGTGCATTTTTGACAGTAAAGGTTGTGCCTGTGGGGACCAGCCTAGTTTTGCAGGATGGCCGCACTGTTAAATTGAAATAAAATATACAATAACTAAAAAATGAAATATGTGAAATTTAAACCTACTAGTATAAAATGTTCCACTTGCTTGTTTGTAAAAAAAAGGCTCAGGGTTCAAACAGAAGTCCGATGCTGCCTAATTTATAAAAAGTAATCATATTTCAAATATTTTGAAATTATTATTAAAATTTTTTTACATAATCTTTAACATTAAAACTGAAATATTTGATAAATATATATTGAAAACTGGCCAAAATTATAATAATAATTAAATAGTAGAGCCCAATAGTTTGTCTGGGTCTATTATATGATTATACTCAATAAAAATTCACAGTAAAGCATTACTAAGAATGAATGGTTATGCTTAGTTAAGAAAATAAGTAATATGTTTTTTTGAGATAAAAATATTAATATTTTGGTATTCATAATAATAAGAAATTTTGTAATAGACTATTTGTTAAAATCTAGTATATAATAAAATAAATAATTACCACACAGGATCCAAGATATAATGACACAGATATCCAACATATTACAACTGAAAGTAGGCCCAATACTGAAAATCTATTAAAGAATTAATATAGCATTTAATAAAATTTACCTTTAAACTGAAAAAATTTGTATACATTAAAATAAAAAAAATTATATAAATAATAATTAAATATAACTATCAAAATATTATGGTGTAATCGTAAAGTCCCTCTGCAGTCGGCTATGCCTATGTGGCTTGGCCAAGTGGTAACATCACAACTTACTTAATTCTTTCACTGTATGATCTGTGTGATGTCATTACCTCATTTATGGAAGTTCCTTCCATTCCCTCCATCCATTGTGGAGGGACTTTATGATCACACTTTATATTTAGTAGACTTGTCAGTCATCACAAGTAATATACTGATTGTTGATGAGTTAAATATGAATGGAAAAATTGCCTGTATCCAGCAGTGGCTTTTGATAAACACTGCAAAACTGTAGCACCAAAAAAAAAAATTATAATAATAAAATCACGAAAACGTCTTGAGTTTAATTAACTTAATGTATAATAATTTACATAATTACTAAATATTAAAATTAATGATTTTATCAAATCATTATACAAATAAAAAATGATTTTATTAGAGCAGTCGTGTGATGCACTTCTGTGATAGCACCATCATATTAGACAGCCATAATCCATCACTGGTTATATTACAGTATTGATAAGGAATCATTTGAAAATTTATTTAAAAAATGAATGTTTTCAAATGCCTTAATCAGTTACTTTCAGGTTTCTCTGGAAACAAAGTTCTAAAATGTTGTTAAATATTATGTATTCACTATAATTGCACTATAAACTTATTGTCCGGTGTCAGTAATATGTACACTGAACAAACATTTTCAGATTCCTCCTGAGTCCTGCTTCAGGTGAATCGCATTGTTTCTTTGATTTAACACAATCACAGAAAATACAAATTTGAATTTCCATTAAAAATCAAATCAATTTAAAAAATAGAATGCATTGGAGCACCTGCTTTAACAGTACAGAAAACAGAATAAAATGCCATGCTTCAGTATGGTGTTTATTCAGAGAAGCCCCAAAACATTTGTGCAGTGTACATATTACTGATACCAGACAACAGGTTTATAGTGTGATGAAAAACAAACAATTTGATCCATTCATTTTCAGTTTCATTCAAACAAAGATTTTTGAAAAGTGACATTTTGCATAATGTTTCAAAGTTTTTGTTAAATTTTGCTGCAAATCAGTCTTAAACTTCCAAACATTTGGGTACATCAAAGAAATTTCTAAAGTATTTCAATTTTTTAATAAATTCAATAAATGACAAAACCTAATGTCAAAATACAATAAACTGTGGAGATATTGGCAAGTCACTTTTGGTTCTGCCTAAAAATTTGTAAATACAAATAAGCTTAAAAAAACTGTACTGCATTCAATTGCTCTTTTATTCCTGCCCGAGCAGGGATTCATCATAGAGATTCACATATTGTTGTCATTAATTTTAATTACATCCACACGTAGAAAACAAAGTTATTAGAACTAATAATAATAAACAAATGTAATAGACATCATGTGATGCATTAAAATAAAATTATGTTTATCTTAACTTTACAGTTTAACATTTTTAAAAGACAGCAACAATGTAGAGATTAAGATCCATTCTAAAATTGTGCGTTTCATTTTTTAAAGGACATTGTCAGGCAAGTGTCTACCTGTTTACCTATGTCCTTTTAAAAATGGACAAAAACATTTGCTTTTCAAGTGAGAGGTTCTTTTGCTGGTTTCTTGATTACTAAGTTAAAATGTTCATTAAAATTTTTATTATTTAAATACAAAATTTTATTATTTTACTGGGATTTGGATTATAAGCAATTCTCTTACTTCTTTTGTGATTCGTAAATCAAAAAAACTTTTCCATGCAATACTTTATGTTGAATTTAAATTGTCTAAAATTGCAGTGACTAAATTAATGACACAAGTATTTATAATATTATTTATTCATAATGTAGTTATATATGGATTTCAAATCACTATATTTAGCAATTCCTCTTCAGTATAATATCTAAAAGAAAAAATTTATACAATACTTTATAAAACATGATACCAATACAATTTGGGTTATGACACAGTTAAACTAAGATGCTTACAAATATTTTACATGTTACAAAAAGCAATTATGAAACACTTACAATGTTATATATCTTATTGAGTGGATGCTAAATATAGTGATTTGAAATGCATATATAACTAACTACAGTACAGTAATAAATAATATTACAAATACTTGCATACTGTTAATTTAGTCACTGCAATTCTAGACAATTGAAATTTGGCATAGAATATTGTGCCAGAGTTTTTTGGTTTATGAATCATGAAAGAAGTAAAAGAACTACAAAATTTTATGTCTATCAGTATATTGTAGAATATTGATAGACAACAATAAATGACTGCTAATTTTAGGAAACAAACTTTTATTAACTACAAGAAATGTTTTTTTCAGTCAAAATTTGACCATCCTCAGCTTGCAATATTAATATTTAAAAGTTTAGACTAGAATATACAAAATGAGACATTTCTCTTCAAAAGTAATATTCTGAACTTTGTTCTGTTAAATTATGACTCTGTTAAACTGTAAAATAAAGATTNTGTTCAAGGATGATAAAGAGCATGATAGCAATTGTTAGAATCAAGAAAGAAGCAATCCTGTAGAATGTTATAAGGTAAATTAAAGCATTTTTTAATTTAAATTTTAAAGTATTGAAGGCAGAATAGAAGAATGGTAACATAAGAAACAATTTTAAGAAGTTTGATAAAATAAACGTTTTGGTTTTAGAACATTAGAATTTTGGAGAGATTTGAATTGAATGTTTTTGGAGTTTTGTTGGTCAGTTTTGGTATTGGAAGCAAGAGAACTCTAAAAAAAAAAAAAACTTCTAACAGAAGAAACAGAGTCTGTGGGGAGGACATAGATATCAAGAGGAATTTAATTGCAGATTTGGTGGAGTAAACACATATTTGTCATAATTAAAGGTGGACAGAAAAAGTGAAAGACCTTTAATTAAAGTAATGACACCTTTCACTTTTCCCGTCAGGCAGTGTATTTGAGATAGAATGGGGTAGTGATTTTCCATGTGTCATTTGAAGCTGTAGTATAACTTCTTGTCTAATCATTTGTGGATTGTCTACAAAAATGCAAATTGCTAATTTTTTGTAGGCAAATAAAATTAGAATCCAAATATAAGTCAATATTTTATTATTAATTTTCTTCAAAAAATAAAGATTCTAAAATTGGGGATTAACTTATATTCAGGTGAATATGTTATTTGATTTGCTCATTTATTATTTTCACAAATATAACAACTAATATATTAAAATATAATATTAAAATTGTAATTTTATAATTAAATATTTAAGGATTAAAAGTAAGCTCATAAAACAGAATAGTCATTCAATTATCATATTTCATCATTTTATAAATTAACAATAGTGAAACGTTATTTTTTTAAAACTTTCTATCCTACAAGCACTAGGAGGGTCTAATATATTGATATATGATCAATATTTTGTTACTAAATAGAGAATGAATTTCATCACCTATTACATTGATTTTACTAAATAATAGAAGTAATCCATTATAGATTTTGAGACATCCATTAACTACATAGACATTTAAGGCAAGAACACAAAATTACATCATTGTACACAGTGAAGAGGGAGGTGTCAGGAATTGTCTAAGTAGACTTATTTTAATGGTATTAGCAGCATAAAAATTCATTTTTATAAACATAGTTCATTCACATGATTAATGTGTCAAAAAATGTTTGCAAGACTTTTTTTAAACACATTTCTTCAATGTCAGGGGATCCATGAATTATTGTGCACACAATTAAAGGGGAAAGAGTTTGCCAAAAGTATATCAGTAGATGGAGGAGGTCAAAAATGGCTAAAAAATTTTACACTTAATTAATGAATGGCCCCTTTTTATAAACATATATATCCTTTTGGAGCTCAATTTTTCTAAAGAGAGTAGTAAATAATTCAGCAATATAATAAAATAAAATGAAACTCACTTCTTTCTGTGGATAAAAAGTAACAGCAATTTTTGTAACAGCAGCTAAAGTGTTTTGGACATTATGAACAGCTTTCTTTCCATCTTCAATAGACTAAAAATAAAATTTATATATTTCTCTTAATTAAAATGAACTTAAACCTATAGTTTTTCATATAAATGTTTATAACATACTCACATCTTCAAAGGGATTAGGATCATCACAATTAAGATAATATTTCAAAACACCTATAGAAAAACAATTAATTTTTTTAAGATATAATTATGAAATACAAAAAAATTATTCAAACAAATGTAAGCAATAAACATAATTAAGCTTTAATATTTAAGATATTAAGTATATTTTATCATAAGAACAAACAATAGTTTAACAGTGATTTAACAATATTTAGTTTTCCTTACTGTTCAAGTTACCATAATTCAATTTGTTATATATCACTAGCCTGCCTGAGTTTTATACCATTCTTTTCATTTAACATAAAATTAATATCTTTTGATAATTTCTCTGTTATCAATTCAATTAATTCAATTATGTCTACTGTATTGAGGTTTGACTGTATATCAATACTCTATTAAATAGCACCACTTTTGTATAGCAGCAACAAATACTCATGAAATATGACCTTCCTCATAAATATTGAATAGAAAATCTTCCAGTATTTGTGAATTATTAAATATAAAACAATATTTTTACTGAATTTAATACTGCTTTAAATACATTTTATGAACTGTTATAATGTGCATTGTATGATATTTTAAAACAGAAAATAAATTAGTAATTAAATCAATAAAGTTATTTCTTTCATGTGAAGTAATTGCAGTGTCATAAGATTTACAAATTTCCAATGTTTGTATATACAGTATGTAAACATTGCATTTTTTCTAAAAATGAATCATTATAATCAAAAAAATTATCTCAAATGTATGTATATGTACAGAGTGTTTGAAAAATGTTTGGCCAAATTTCACAGGTTTATAGAGGAATACAGATAAAATAGTCAGGTTGTCTTTTGTTCAAAATCTTAATAATAGAGATATCATGTGTCAAAGTATTATGTCATTTCTGTCTTTTAAGTCTATATAATGTAACAGTAATTAAATTTGTTTACTAATTATAATTTCTTTACTAAACAGCTTGCTTCAACATACTCAATGACAAGATGTTGACAGGCTGTGTGGATGCTCACGAGGACATTTTGAGTGCTTCACAAGCTTAGATTTAATAAATTAATTTTTTGAAAAATCTTCATATCTAAAAAATTAGGAATTAATTAAAAAATAAACAGTTTAATAAAAAAATTGCTAAAGAAATGTAATTACTGATATACTACAAAGTTAGACTTAAAAAGAAGAAATGACATCATGGCAATATGATGCTTAATAACTCATTTAATTTGTACAGATAGAAAAAGGACCCTGGATTTTTATTCATGTTTGCTCTCTCTATAAGCCTGTGAAAATGCCCAAACACTTTTGAAACACCATGTATATTTATTTGTTTATCTTCAAAACAATCATTCATGTACAAATTTGTAACATGAGTTAATATTATTTATATTACTTTGACTGTATATTTCATCCCATCATATTACGTACATACCAATGTGAACACTTTTGCTTCCTGGAATATGGATCATTTGTTATTTTAATTTGTTCATGAACATTTTGATTCACCCTGTATATAAACCTTTATTAAGTACTAAAGTATAAATTTATCAATAAACTGTATTATATTTGTTTAAAAACTTGTTTGTTGATTTTAAAAATATAGGCCAATGGATGTTTTTAATAAAAAGCTTTAGAAAAAAAAAATTGAAATTTATGTGTAATATATAATTAATGCAAATAAACTGCTTATACAACTACCGTGTTTCCCCGAAAGTAAGACATCCGCAGAAAATAAGACCTAGCACAGATTTTGCTGTATTGCGAAATATAAGACCTCCCCCTGAAAGTAAGACCTAGCAAAGTTTTTTTTTAGTCGTAACGGTCATCGACAGATGGTTGAAAGTGGCCGTTGGCTTTTTGAAAGTACAGCCACTGATTGGTCAGCAGACAATTACGCCAC